GTCATCATCAGCATCAGCATCATTATCCTCAACATCCTCATCCTCATCCTCCTCCTCCTCCTCCTCCTCATCCTCATCATCATCATCATCATCATCATCGTCATCGTCATCGTCATTAGCATCATCATCCTCATCCTCATCCTCATCCTCATCCTCTTCCTCATCCGCATCCTCCTCATGATCATGATCCTCAGCATCATCATCCTCATCCTCATCATCATCCTCATCCTCCTCATCCTCCTCATCATTCATGAACATCATAATCATCATCAGTATCATCATTATCACTATCATCCCTGCCTCTCCTCCTACCTGCCTGTCCCCCTTCTCCTCCTCGTTCTCCTCCTCCTTCTCTTCTCCTCCTCCTGCTCCTCCTCCTCCTTCGCCTTCCCCTCAACTGCCCTCGCCTGGTTTATGTTCCAATGCAGGACGAAAGTCCTGCCCGTGATCTTGGCCAGCGCGTGGGCGGACACCATCACGACCGCCAGGTTTCCAAGGCCGACCTGGCGTCTCGCCGTTCGACCCGCTCCTCCCTTTCCTCCTCCTCCTCCTCCTCCTCCTCCTCCGCCTCCCTTTCCTCCTCCTTCTCCTCCTCCTCCTCGTCCTCCTCCTCCCACTCTTCCTCTTCCATGTCCTTCATTTCCTCCTCTTCTCCTCCTCCTCCTCGTCCTCGTCCGCGTCCTCCTCCTCCTCCTCCTCCTCCTCCCTCCTCCTCCTCCTAGTCCTCCTCCTCCTCCTCCTCCTCCTCCTCCTCCTCCTCCTGCTCCTTTTTCTCCGCGCTCGCGAGGCGCGACGCGCGGTTATATCCTTGCCCTCGCGACGCCCCCTGGAGAAGGGCAGCCCAACGGCCCTGGCCGCGACGCGCGCAGTGCGGCGATGTTTGCGCCCAGGGGGGGGGATGCCTCCCCGGTATTCTCCCTATGTTTCTCCTGCTGCTGCGGCTGCTGAAGGCTGCATCGACCTGTACTGACCCGAAGCCTGTGCCCCCCCCCCCCCCCGCGCCGCGCTGCAGGGATGCTGCTCCTCCCTCTCCTCCTGCGATCTGCGGGCATCGGCGCACTCCAGCCTCCAGCGGCCCCGACTCCGCCCCAGGGGCAATGACGAGGGGAGAAGACAGGGGCCCACGGATCCCTCCGAGAGCTCCCCTAGAGGGTACGGGAGTAGGCGGAACAGACGGGCGGGGGAGGGGGGAGGGGGGGAAGCGCAGCGGGGGAAAGGGACAGGGAGAGGGAGCTCCAGGGGGGTGCCACGGTTAACCAGCCTCGAACTGATCCCTATCCATACGATCGGCAAGCCCACGGTGATGGCAATCTTAAGGATTTGGCCTCACAAACTGAGGGAATCCTTAAGATCGGCACCGAGGTAAGGTGATGCCCAGCATGGGTATAGGGATATATTTCAAGCTGGTAAATTGTACGGGTGGTACATGGTGGTACCTGCGGAGGGAGAGCGTGCAACAGCAGCCGCTTCGTCCCCTTCCCCGCCCGCTCTCTTCTCCTGGCGGCGCGGGCCGCCGTTCCCTTCCTCTCGGCGGCATGGGGTTGTCGCAGCTCTTGCGGCCCAGGATGTTTTTGCTCGTGGCGGTTGTCGGCCGGATGGGTGCGCTAGGTTGGCGATCCACCTCGGGGTGGGGGGACCCGACCCGTGCCACGGGTCGGCTGCCCCCCATGCAGCGACGGAAGACTGCGCGCGGGTGCGCGCGAGGGCGTTGACTAGTAGGGTGCGGGCGGAAGCGTTGACCACCAGCTCGGGTATTACCAAGGTAGATCATGAAGCCAGCAAGCGGGTTCAGCAAAGAAGCCGGCAGGCAAGGCTAGGCCAGCATGGGCCAGCTGCCTCTCCACGGCTGCCGGTCAGGCGGCGCCGCAGCAACTTGCTGGAGCTGGCAGCTTGTCTTGGGCCAGGCGGCAGCATGAGGCCTGTCGTGGCTGCAAGGCTTGGCAGCAGAGCCTCATGTGGGGGTCGGTTGGTTAGGTCTCCTCGTCGGCCGCCGTCGCTGGGTTTGGCGTCGGGGAAGTTGTCCGGGAAGGGCGCAGAAGGTGGTGGAGGGGAGTCGCGGGGAAGGGAGCCGCAGCGGAAGGAGTCGTGGGGTGGGGTCGTGTGGACGGGAGCCGTCAGGTAGTCGCACATGGCGGTGCCCTCGATGTGGCCATGGCGGCGGCCACCAGCTTTGCTGATGTGGGCGTCTGGAGGAGAGTCGTAGGCCTCCTGCGCCTGTGGCTGGGCGCTGGGCGTGGGCTCGTCGTCGTCGTCGTCGTCGTCGTCGTCGTCGTCGTCGTCGTCGTCGTCGTCGTCGTCGTCGCGGTCGCGGTCGCTGTCATGTTCGTCATCGTGGTAGTGCGAGTGGCCGCTCTTTCTACGGCACCTAACTTCGCGCATCGCGCCCCGCGATGCGCGACGCGCGACCATCTTCGCGCCCTCGCGCCGCCCCCTGGCTCGCGCCGCCCCCCATCCCATCGGCGCCCTCGCACCGCCCCCTGGATGCCGGCGGCCGCCTTGGCCCAGGCCGCGACGCGCGGGGCGCGATAGTCTTCGCGCCCCCGCGGATCCCTGGCTACCCCAGGCCTCGCGTGTGGAGCCCCCCGGGTACCGCCTCGTACTCCGCTCGTGGACCTACAACTTTTGACGGCGCGCAGAGGGGGGTAGGGGGAGGGGGAAGGCTTCTTAGAAGGAGGCGACTTCTTAGAAGGCGCGTGGCTGCAACCTGCTCGCGAAAAAGCCTGATCGTGATGACGGTCTCGATGCACAATGGCCTGCTCGTGACGAGCTCGATTGCGACGATCCCTGGAGAGCTCGATGGTGAAGCTCTTGCTGCTGAGCAGCCTACTCGCGACGAGCACGATGGGGACGGTTTCACTGTCCAACGGCCTGCTCGTGCAGGGCTCGATGGCGACGAACTTGATACAAGAGTACTGGTCGGCCTGCCGATGACGCGCCCGAAGGTGATGATCTTGCTGATGAGGCCTGCTCGTGGAGATCTCGAAGGTCACCACCTTGCCGCAAACGGGCCTGCTTGTGGAGAGCTCATGCTGCCGCACGGCATGCTCTCAGAATGCCCGATGGCGACGACCTCGCTGCTGCGGCGTCCCTGCTGCCGAGCGACTTGCTTGTAAAGAGCGCCCAAAACGGCCTGCTCCTCAAGAGCGAGGCGACCATCCCCCAGCCAGGCCTCCGTGGCGGAGCGCGCGCCGGCAACGCCGGCGGCGGAGTGCACGCCGCACTGCACGCTCGGCCTCAAGGGAGCGGCCAGTAGGCCCCGAGCCGGTCGGGGTCAGCTACGGTCCCCTGCTGACGGTGGCGTGCCGATTTTGTTCGAGCGGACGGTGGTCCGATCCTCCTCGGTCCGCTGATCCTCCTCCTCCTCCTCCTCCTCCTCCTCGAACTCCTCCTCCTCCTCCTCCTCGAACTCCTCCTCCTCCTCCTCATTCTCCTCCTGCTCGTTCTCCTCCTCATCATCCTATTCATCCATCCTCCTCCTCCTCCTCCTCCTCCTCCTCCTCCTCCTCATCATCATCATCATCATTATGATCATCATCATCATCATCACCATCACCATCATCATCATCATCATCATCATCATCATCATCATCATCATCATCATCATCATCATCATCATCATTATTCATCATGATCAGCATCATCATCAGCAGCATCATCATCAGCAGCATCATCGCTCATCATAATCATCGTCATCATCAGCATCATCATCGGCAGCATCATCATCAGCATCATCATCAGCATCGTCAGCATCACCATCATAACCATCACCATCATCATCATCATCATCATCATCATCATCATCATCATCGTCGTCGTCATCATCATCATCATCATTCATCATCAGCACCACCACCATCATCGTCATCATCAGCATCAGCATCATCATCATCATCATCATCATCATCATCGTCATCATCATCACCATCACCCTCATCCTCATCATCCTCATCATCCTCATCATCCTCATCATCCTCATCATCCTCATCATCGGCAGCATCATCATCGGCATCAGCATCATCAGCATCATCATCAGCATCATCATGATTATCATCATCATCATCATGATTATCATCATCATCATCATCATCATCATCATCATCATCATCATCATCATCATCATCATCATCATCATCATTATCAGCATCATCATCCTCATCATCAGGATCATCATTCTCGTCGTGATCATCATCATCATCACCATCATCAGCACCACCATCACCACCATCACCATCACCAGCACCATCACCATCATCATCCTGCCTCGTCCCTCCTCCCTCTTCCTCCTCCCTCCTCCCTCCTCTCAAGCATCGGCTCGAGGTGTCTTCGCAGTAAGCGTTTGGCTTCCTCGTGCTGCCTTGAGTCGAGCCCTTCGCCTTCTCGGGGCGCTTGACGGGCCCAGAACTGGAGTTCGGCGGTGGCGCACTGTTCGGGCCTCTTTTCCTGGTAGCGAAGAAGGGCATGGTCCCTGAGGGGTAGCTGCGTTGGCTTTGGTTGGTGCGGTAATCTCAGATCGCAATCTGGTGTTTGCAACGTGCGCCTGTTTCAACTATTATGTTCTCTGATGTTCTCTGCTGCCGGGGGGGCACTTACATTTGTTGTTGTACAAGTTTGTTTTGTCGGATTTGTGTCTAGTGAATTCGTCCATATCCTGTTCGGCATCCGCCTCAGGGGAAGGGGAGGCCAAGCTCTGGTACTGACCGACCCCCTTCCCCTGGGCGTACCTCAATGTATCCGTTGGGTGGGCTCCTGGATTTCGCTTCAGAGTGACATGGCTCAGCTGTTGCCGCCGCTGGCGTGTCCAGGCGGTCTGCGAGGCGGTTTGGGCGCCCGTGGCTCCCATGCAAGTGGTGACACTCATGTGGGTTCCCCGCCGTCCTCGTGGACGACGAAGCAAGCATGGCCCGATGCTGCGGGGTTGGTTTCAGGTGGCCTCAAGATTCGTTCTGTCACGTTCGTTGGCGTATCGATTGCTGGAAATATGGTGAATGCTGTCACTGCCTCAAGCATCGGCCTGGAAGTTCTGTTCCACGGTTGGGGGTGGTGCTACTGGTGGCCTTAGTCATGCTTTACTTACGGGACAAAAGTGGCATCGTCGTCGCGGTCGGGCACATCTCGCTCGCGGTCTCCGTGGCGGTCAGGGAAGGGAGGGTAACTGCTTACTTAATCGACTACGTCGCATAGCCTGTTCCTGTGCCTGCTGCTTCCTCCCTCACCCCTCTCTCTCTCTCCCTTCCACAGCCACCCTCCACCTACACCATCAACCTCCTCCTCCTCCTCCTCCTCCTCCTCCTCCTCCTCCTCCTCCTCCTCCTCCTCCTCCTCCTCCTCCTCCTCCTCCTCCTCCTCTCTGTCGGCCCGTTTCCCCGCACTCCTCCTCCCAGCCCTGGGGACAAACGGGTTGTAGCAGATCACGTACTTGCCTCCCGCCGCCGGGTGCGGGCCGGGCTGCCAGACGGGGATCTCCTGCCGGGGGAGCAGGAAACGGAAAGGTGGCCACGACCCGGGGCCAAAGATCGGCGAAGACGCCGCGACGTCGAGTGGTGACCGCGGCCGGGGCCAGCGATCGGCGTCGACGAAGCCCCGCGACGTCTCGGCTGTGGCCGCCGCCCTTCCTCCCTCGACCCGCTGACCCCCTGCCCAGCGGCCGCCACGCTCTGCGCCTCGCCTGTGAAGCGCGGGGCGCGGTTCTCTTCGCGCTCGCGCGCGCGCGCCGCCCTCGCAGGGAGAACAACGGAGGGGCGCCACGTGCGAGCCGCGCTTGGCCGAAGCAGAGGGCGAGCAGGGGGGGGGGGGCACGGAGTGACGAGACAGCGCGTGTCTCCGTTCGCCCGTGTGCTCTACGAGTTCCCTCCCTCCCGCCCTCCCTCTGCCTCTCGCTCCACCTGCCTCCCGCTCTCCCTCCCTCTTTCTCCCTCTCCCTCCCTCCCTCTCTCCCCCCCTCCCTCCCCCCCTCCCTCGCCGCACAGCAGCGCTGCACCGTGGCCGCCTGCCGCGCCCCGCTTCTCCGCTGCGAGTCCCGCGTCGGTCGCACGCCAGGAGCGCCTCGGGCTCCCTGCTGCAAGCGCTTCGCTCCCGGCCCATCAGAGGAGCAGCCGAGCGGAGCGCTGGTAGCCCCGTCGGCCGCACGCGGACACGCGCTGCGAACTCGGTGTCTCTCTCTCTCTCTCTCTCTCCCTCTCTCTCCCTCTCTCTCCTCTCCTCGCTCCCTCTCCCTCTCCTCTCCCTCTCCCTCTCCCTCCCTCCCCCATCCCTCCCTCCCTCCCTCCCCCATCCCTCCCTCCCTCCCACTCCCCATTCATGTTTTAATGCTATGGCTATGTCCTATGTGTTGTTTACTGGATGCCCAAATCCTTAGCTACCCATGACGATCCAACGAGGAAGCGCAGGCAGCGCCCAAGCACATTCTGGCCGCACTGCTCTTCTCGATCAGGCTCTGCCCTGCGGGGCGGTGGCGATCAGAGACTTCCGAGCTTGGTCCTCTGATTGAATGCTCCACTTGCGAACTCCACGCGTACACTCGTCATACACTTGGAGAGCCCTCCCCCTGCGACAGAGCCTGCTGCACTGGCACGCCAGCCAAGCAAGGCACAGGCCCAGGTGGGGTCCAGCTCGCAAGCACGGGCCCCTCGCCCACCGGTGACGCCGAACCCTAAGCTGCTCCACCCTCCGCCCTTCCCGCGTTCTTCCCCCAGCTCCAGAACGCACGCCACGGTGCTGTAGGATCAAGGCGACAACAATGAGAATGGAAAGGAAGCGTGGCAGATGGCTGGCGATGTGAACGAGGAGCCCAGGAGCGAAAACGATTTTGGCACGTCGCAGAGGCATTCAGCCCAGAGCAAAGATACGAGAGCGAGCATGCAAGACATCGGATCCTGGAAAACGGCGAGCTTCGGGGTGACTGGCCGGCAGCACCCCGCCTGCCGACGGTGTTGGCGCAGCGTGCCCTCGCCCGAAACCTTAAAGTCCATGCGCGGCTGTCTTCCGCGCCCTCGCGCCCTTGCGCCGCTGGCCCCGGAGAAAGGCCGCCGCTCTGCCCCAAACTGCGGCGCGCGAAGCGCGCTTGCCTTCGCGCCCCCGTGTGGGATCCTGGCTCCGGGTGTTTCTGCCGGGCCGTGGTCGCCAGCGCTGGCCCCTGGGCAGGCCTTCCAGTGGATGAGAGGGCGCGCAGTGACGAGGCAGCCCAGTTCGGGCGCCCTCTCTCTTTCTCTCTCTCTCTCTCTCTGACAATGCAGCTAGGCAGAGATGTATCGCGGCACTCGTTCGAGGCTGATTGGAACCAGCATGATTGCATCGGGAGCCAGACTGCGCGGCGCCGACTCCAGAAAGGGGGGGCGCGACAGAGAGACGGAGGGTATACAAGGTCCTCCATCCCAGGAAGCAGCTCGTCGATAACGCCTGTGCTGGGAAAACAGAGAACCATTATCAAGTGTTGGGGCAAGGAAAGTAAGAACCCGTGCTCTGGCACCAGTGGAAATCGAAAAAGGTGCTGCTTGGCTGGCGGACACCGTATTTGATGTAGTCGCTGCGTCAAGCTTTCCCAACATGTCCAGCACTCAAGCTGGCCGCTCCTCCGCCAATACGATTGAGACCGCTCTCTCCCGACACGCGCCGCTGTCCACCCGGCAGCTGCTCTGTTCGGTCGGATGTGGGCACTCGTCAGGGCCCTCGGCGCACACACACACACACACACACGTGTAATCACGCACAAACATGTGCGCGCGACGCATGCACAAGCACAGACACACTTCTTCTGTTGCAGACATGGCGAGCGCGCGGGTCGGTCAAGCGGCCTACGGGCGCTGTGCAAGCACGGGCCCAGGCACACGCGCACATACTTTTTCCTCCGCTGGCTAGGTGACGTCACCGTAGCAACTGATAGCAAGGGACGCCAGCTATCGTATGAATTTCACCAGCGCTGCAGGTGGTGGACTGCGTGAGGCAAATCAGCGTGCAATGAAAAACATCCAGTTTAGTGAGAGAGTAGGCGAGAACTGACGCATGCAGAGGCGTGCAGAGGTCTCACGCACGCACATACACATATTCACGTTCACGAGCCCACAAACACTCTTCTGCTGTAGAGAAGCGGTCCCTATTCCAGGACGCAAGCAACTACATTCGCTAGTGCCCGGGCAGGCCGCAGGGACCGCATGCTAAGCCACGCATTCCGTGAACGACCTTCTTGAACCGTACCTGACGTGTACCTTCCAAAGCATACAGTTGGGAGGAATCTGCCACCGTGCTCCTATGTAGAGTGTTCAGACGTGGTAATATGCCAAGTGCTACCAGACACCGTTTCTACAATCTTCTTCCCCCTGGTCACCACGCTCAAGGACATGCATCGCCCTCCCCCCCCCTAAAGCAGCTACAGGACGGCTCCCGCAGGTCACCAAGGATGCCTAGATGGCCCAGGATTGTCTCTGGACGGCCCAAAATGGCTCTCAGATGGCTTCTAAACAATTGGATATGCCCTCCAGACGGCCCCAGAGGGCTTCAAGAGGACCCCAATGAGGGCTCGCGGGTGTAAAACTCATGGGTTGTCCCAAGGTTCTCGAGAAGTGTTCGCGCGCTCACCTTGACCTTGTCGTTTTCTGTCAGGAAACGACCGTCCACGATGCCTCCAGGATGGCCCCAACACGGTCCAATAAGTTCCCAAAGAGGGCACCAAGACGACCCAATATGGCCCAGGAGGCAAGACGGCCCAAGGAAGGCCGAAGACGGCCAAGAGAGTAACAAGACCAAGATGGCCTGAGAGAGCGCCAAGAAAGCCCCAGGCAGGACCAGAAAAGCGCCCCAAACGAACTCCGAAGCCACCAGACGGCCCAAGAGTGCCCTAAGACGTCCCAGGGAGCGCCCGAGAGGCCTGGAGAGGCCCTCAAGACGCCTCCGAGAGGCTCCAAGAGAGGGGGGGAAGAAGAGAAGGGAGGATGACGCTGAACACGGCGAGAGGCTCCCCAACACGACGCGGTAGAACGTGTCGTATTTCATTGATCTCCCAGGAACGAACTTCTGAGGCGCGCCGAAGAACCCAGGGGGCCCGGTTTCCACGGGAAAGACATAAATCTCTGGCGAGGGGTTCGGGCACAGGGATAACCCTGGTCTCAAATTTCGGAAGAGGAATGAACTCGCAGCTGCGGAGGGTTCTCGCACGCGAGGTTCCACCCCCCTGGCCCAACCAAAGGAAAAGAGCGAGAGCCCAGGATGCAAATGCAATTCAACAACACTCTAGAAGTAGTTGTACTGAAATTGTACTGGTAATCGTGTACTGTACTAGCTTGTTCTACTGTGGCGCGACTTGCACCAGGCAGTAGCAGTTGCACTCCAATGCAGTGTTGCTTAGCATGCGCCGCCAAGGCTCCAAATTTTAACGGGTCGCCGCGAGGAGGGACCCCCCGGGGAAGGAAGAAAATAAATCCGGCCTGGGGGGTTGGGGGTCCAGGCATGAATCGCGGTGGTGATCCTCTAGCTGGCAGCCCGGTCTCGTCGCATTGTCTAACGCGAACTGGGTTATATGAGCGACGAGCCATACCTGGCTGAGGCAGGCTAAGCTGGGCCGTAAAATGAACACGGCAGCACACACATGAACACACAAACAACAAGCGATCGCACACTCTTACACGATGTATTGAAACGCACCGCAAGCCATATTCATCATCATCACCATCACCATCACCATCACCATCACCATCATCATCATCATCATCATCATCATCATCATCATCATCATCACCATCACCATCACCATCACCATCACCATCATCCTGATCCTGATCCTGATCCTGATCCTCCTCCTCCTCATCATCATCATCCACATCATCATCACCACCATCATCGTCATCATCATCATCACTATCACCACCACCATCATCATTATCATCATCATCATCATCATCATCAACATCATCATCACCACCAGAATCATCATCACCATCACCATCCCCATTACCGTCAACGTCACCGTCACCGTCACCGTCACCATCACCATCATCACTCATGATCACTCATCATCACCCTCGTACTCCCCCGTCCCCCCCTGGTACTCGTCCCTCCTCCCCATCCTTCTCCTCCTCCTCCTCCTCGTCCTCCCCCTTCCCTCTCCACCTCCTCTTCCTCCGCTTCCTCTCCTTTCTCCTCCTCCTCCTCCTCTCGTGACGTTGCTCAGACATTGATCGAGTGATCGCTGCGTCTCTCCTGCTCCTCCTCATCCTCCTCCTCCTTCTCCTCCTCCTCATTCCTCCTCCCGTTCCTCCTCCTCCTCCTCCTCCTCCTCCTCCTCCATCCTTCCCAGCGGGCGGCTGGCTGGCTGGCCGGCGAGGTCACTGTTGATCCGCAGGGCCTGCCGGGCCGCTGCGCGGGCGTCCTGGCGGCCGCTGAAAGGGAGGGGGCAGCATGGAGCCTCGAGGAAGGGAAGTTAGCCGATGGACATGTCCAGGGGGCAATCTTTACGAGGAGAGGAGATGGCAGGAGGAGGAGTGAAGGGGAAGTAGTAGTAGTAGTAGTAGTAGTAGTAGTAGTAGTAGTAGTAGTAGTAGTAGTAGTAGTAGTAGTAGTAGTAGTAGTAGTAGTAGTAGTAGTAGTAGTAGTAGTAGTAGTAGTAGTAGTAGTAGTAGTAGTAGTAGTAGTAGTAGTAGTAGTAGTAGTAGTAGCAGTAGCAGTAGCAGTAGTAGTAGCAGTAGTACTAGTACTCGTACTAGTACTAGTAGTAGTAGTAGTAGTAGTAGTAGTAGTAGTAGTAGTAGTAGTAGTAGTAGTAGTACTCGTAGCGTATTAGCAGTAGTAGTAGAGCAGCAGTAGTAGTAGCAGTTAGTAGTAGTAGTAATAATAGTAGTGTAGTAGTAGTAGTAATCGTAGTAGTAGTCCAGTAGAAGTAGTAGTAGTAGTAGTAGTAGTAATAATAGTAGTAGTAGTAGAAGTAGTAGTAGTATAGTAGAAGTAGTAGTAGTAGTCAGTAAGAGTAGTAGTAGTAGTAGTAGTAGTAGTAGTCGTCGTCGTAGCAGTAGTAGTAGTAGTAGTCGTCGTAGTAGTAGTAGCAGTAGTAGTAGTGGTAGTAGTCGTAGTCGTAGTAGCGGTGGCAATAGTGATAGTAGTAGTAGTAGTAGTAGTAATTGAAATCGTAGTCAGTCGTAGTCGTAGTCGTAGAAGAAGTAGTAGTAGTAGTCGTAGTAGTAGTAGTAGTAGTAGCAGTAGTAATCGTAGTAGTAGTAGTAGCAGCAGCAGTAGTAGTAGTAGTAGTAGAGACAATAATAGTAGTAATCGCAGTAGTAGTAGTAGTAGCAGTAGTAGTAGTAGTAGTAGTAGCTGTAGTAGTCGTAGTTGTACTGATAGTAGTAGTAGTAGTAGTAGTAGTAGTAGTAGTATCAGTAGTAGTAGTAGTAGTAGTAGTAATAGTAATTGTAAGAATAGTAGTAGTAGTAGTGGTAGTAGTAGTAGTAGTAGTAGTCGTAGTAGTAGTAGTGGTGGTGATAGAAGTAGTAGTAGTAGTAGTAGTAGTAGTAGTCGTAGTCGTAGACGTAGTCGTGGTAGTAGTAGTAGTAGTAGTAGTAGTAGTAGTGGTAGTAGTAGTAGTAGTAGTAGTAGTACGTCATAGTCGTCGTTAGCAGTAGTAGTAGTAGTAGTAGTAGCAGTAGATGGTAGTGGTAGTAGTAGTTAGTCGTAGTAGTAGTAGTTAGTAGTAGTGTAGTAGTAGTCATAGTATTAGGTAGTAAGTAGTGTAGTGGTAGTAGCCGTAGTCGTAGTAGCCGTGTGGAAATAGTGGTCGTAGTAGTTAGGTGGTTAGTGGAAATCGTAGTCGTAGTCGTAGTCGTAGAGGTCGTGCTAGTAGTAGTAGTAGATAGTAGTAGTAGTAGTAGTAGTAGTAGTAGTGGTGGTAGTAGTAGGAGTTGTTGTAGTTGTTAGTTTGTAGCAGTAGCCGTCGTAGTCGAGCCGTCGTAGTCAGTAGTAGTATAGACGAGTAGTAGTAGTAGTAGCAGTAGTCTCAGTCGTAGTAGTACTAGTAGTAGCAGTTAGTAGTAGTAGTAGTAGTAGGGTTGTGGTAGTTAGTTGGTAGTAGTAGTTGATCGTATCGTTAGTCGTGAGTCGTGGGAGGTAGTAGATAGTAGTCGTAGTCGTAGTGTAGTAGTCGGTAGTAGTAGTAGTTAGTAGCAGTAGTAGTAGTAGTAGTAGTAGTAGCATTTAGCAATAGTATACTCTTATAGTTGCTAATACGAATACTAGTAATAGTTACTTAGTCGTAGTAGTAGTAGTAGTAGTAGTAGGAGATCGTAATAGTAAGTAGTAGTATAGTCTTAGTAGTAGTAGTAGTAGAGTAGCCGTAGTAGTAGCCGTAGAGTAGTAGTAGTAGTAGAGTAGGTAGCAGTAGAAGTAGTAGTAGTGGCTTAGTCGTAGTAGTAGAAGAAGTAATAGTGGTAGGCCGTAGTTGTAGTATAGTAGTAGTAGTAGTAGTAGTAGTAGTAATAGTAGTAGTAGTGGTGGTAGTCGTAGTAGTAGGAGTAGTAGGAGTAGTAGAAATGGCACTGGTCGTAGTAGTAGTAGTAGTAGTAGTAGCAGTAGTAGTCGTAGAGGTAGTAGCAGTAGTAGTAGTAGTAGTAGTAGTAGTAGCAGTAGTAGTAGTAGTAGTAGTAGTAATCGTAGTAGTAGCCTTCAACGTAGCATTCGTAATCGTAGTAGCAGCAGTAGCAGTAGCAGTAGCAGTAGTAGTAGTAGTAGTAGTAGTCGTAGTCGTAGACGTAGTCGTGGTAGTAGTAGTAGTAGTAGTAGTGGTAGTAGTAGTAGTAGTAGTTGTCGTCGTAGCAGTCGTAGTAGTAGTAGTAGTAGTAGTAGCAGTAGTGGTAGTAGTAGTAGTAGTAGTACAAGTAGTAGTAGTAGTAGTCGTAGTCATAGTAGTAGCAGTAGTAGTAGTAGTGGTAGTAGCCGTAGTCGTAGTAGCCGTGGCAATAGTGGTAGTAGTAGTAGTGGTAGTGGAAATCGTAGTCGTAGTCGTAGTCGCAGAGGTCGTAGTAGTAGTAGTAGTAGTAGTAGTAGTAGTAGTAGTGGTGGTAGTAGTAGTAGTTGTTGTTGTTGTAGTTGTGCAGGCAGTAGCCGTCGTAGTCGTCCGTCCGTAGTATTAGTAGTAATAGTAGTAGTAAATAGTAGTAGCAGTAAGTAGTAGTAGTAGTACTAGTAATAGTATCAGTAAAGTAAGTAGTAGTAGTATGTAGTGGTAGTGGTAGTAGTGTAGAGTAAGTTTGGAATCGTATTCGTAGTCGTAGTCCGTGGAGGTAGTAGTAGTAGTCGTAGTCGTAGTCGTAGTAGGTGTAAGTCGTAGTAGTAGTATAGTAGCAAGTAGTAGTAGTTAGTAGTATAGTATTCGTAGTAGCATGAGTATAGTAGGACTCGTACTAGTACTAGTAATAGTCGTAGTAGTAGTAGTAGTCAAGTAGTAGTAGTAGTTAGTCGTAATAGTAGTAGTAGTAGTAGTAGTAGTAGTCGTATTAGTAGTGGTAGTTAGTAGTAGTAGTAGTAGTAGTAGCAGTAGTTAGTAGCCGTAGTAGTAGTAGTAGTAGTAGTAGTAGTAGTAGTAGTAGTGGTGGTAGTCGTAGTAGTAGAAGTAGTAGTAGTGGTAGCCGTAGTGGTGGTACTAGTAGTAGTAGTAGTAGTAGTAGTAGTAGTAGTAATAGTAGTAGTAGTGGTGGTAGTCGTAGTAGTAGGAGTAGTAGGAGTAGTAGAAATGGCACTGGTCGTAGTAGTAGTAGTAGTAGTAGTAGTAGCAGTAGTAGTCGTAGAGGTAGTAGCAGTAGTAGTAGTAGTAGTAGTAGTAGCAGCAGTAGTAGTAGTAGTAGTAGTAGTAGTAGTAGTAGCCTTCAACGTAGCATTCGTAATCGTAGTAGCAGCAGTAGCAGTAGCAGTAGCAGTAGTAGTAGTAGTAGTAGTAGTAGTAGTACTGCTGCTACTACTACTACTACTAGTGATAGTAGTAGTAGTAGTAGTAGTAGTAGTAGTAGTAGTAGTAGTAGCAGCAGCAGTAGTAGTAGTAGTAGTAGTAGTAGTAGTAGTAGTAGTAGTGGTAGGTAGTAGTAGTAGTAGTAGTAGTAGTAGTAGTAGTAGTAGTAGTAGTAGTAGTAGTAGTAGTAGTAGTAGTAGTAGTAGTAGTAGTAGTAGTAGTAGTAGTAGTAGTAGTAGTAGTAGTAGTAGTAGTAGTAGTAGTAGTAGTAGTCGTAACAGCAGTAGTCATCATAGTAGTATTCGTCATCGCAGCAGCAACAGCAATAGCAGCAGCAGTAGTAGTAGTAGTGGTGGTAGTAGTAGTAGTAGTAGTAGTAGTAGTAGTAGTAGAAACAAAAATAGTAGCAGTAGTAGTAGTAGTAGTAGTAGTAGCAGTAGTAGTAGTAGTAGTAGCAGTAGTAGTAGTATTAGTAGTAGTAGTAGAAGAAGTAGTAGTAGTAATAGTAGTAGTAGTAGTAGTAGTAGTAGTAGTAGTAGTAGTAGTAGTAGTAGTAGTAGCAGTAGAAATTACTCCGACGGTAGGACCCCACATGAAGATCTGTTTAGCTTACCCTTTGCCCGTTCCTTTTCCTCCTGGGGCTCCCGCCTGAAACTTCCTTACAATTCACTCACAGACGAGGCTCCCGCTCGAGACTTCCTCCATATTCATATCTCAAGAGCCCAAAAGTGACGACATTTGCACGTTGTGGATGACCCGCTCGGATTCAAACATGAAGTGCGGGCCCCATGGGGAGGGGGCTCCCGCCTGAGACTTTCTCACAATGTACTCACAGACGAGGCTCCCGCTCGAGACTTCCTCCATATTCAAGTCTCAAGAGCCCAAACGTGACGACAGTTGCACGTTGCGGACGACCCGCTCGGATTCGAACATGAAGTGCGGGCCCCATAAGGGGGGGGCTCCCGCCTGAGACTTCCTCGCAATTCACTCACAGACGAGGCTCCCGCTCGAGACTTCATCCATATTCAGGCCTCAAGAACCCAAACGTGACGACAGGTGCACGTTGCGGATGGCCCGCTCGGATTCAAACACGAAATGCGGGCCCCATAGGGAGGGAGCTCCCCCGCATGAGATTCCTCGCAATTCACTCACAGACGAAGCTCCCGCTCGAGACTTCCTCCATATTCAAGTCTCAAGAGCCCAAAAGTGACGACAGTTGCACGTTGCGGATGACCCGCTCGGGTTCAAACATAAAGTGCGGGCCCCATAGGGAGGGGGCTCCCGCCTGAGACTTCCTCGCAATACACTCACAGACGAGGCCCCCGCTCGAGACTTCATCCATATTCATATCCCAAGAGCCCAAAAGTGACGACAGTTGCACGTTGCGGGTGACCCGCCCGGATTCAAACATGAAGTGTTGGCCCCATGGGGGGGGGGGCTCC